GTCAACATCACTATAGCCATCATCATCATCGTTGTCGATGTCATCATCATCCTTATCATTATTCTTTTAAGATGCATGACCCTTGAAATGGATGATGATGATGATGATGATGATGATGATGGTAATGATAATGATGATAACTGATATTTAACAAATACAGGCTATGTGACTGAGCAAATCATTTAAACCTCTTAGTGTTCTAGGCAGCTCTTTAATATGATAAAATGCAGAAAAGATGCCAACCTGCATTAGTAGATAAAGTTTCCCTGTCTGGGAGTTCCTTATACCAATGAAATCATCGGTTCAACCCCAATCCTTGTCACTGTCCCTGTCCTATTCCTCAAGACTCATTCAGGTACCACCTCCTCCAGGAAGATTTCCCCTAGCTGAAAGTGATTCTTCTCTCACCATTTCTTATAGTAGTTTGCCTGAATTCTTCCTTGTCCCCATGACATTATTCCATGTGTTATTAGATCGTTAGCTCTTTGACACTAGGTTGTGTTCCCTTTTTGTGTACCCAGTGTTCAGCATGGTGCCTTGAATCAAGTCAGCATAATGAATATTTTTTGACCTGAGATTGTGACTAACTGGAATTTCAGAGTTTAGGGTTTTGGAAGTGAAAGAATTTTGAATAATAAGCTCTGAAGTGTGAGGGAAAAGTGAAGTCTTTAATAAGTGGTTAAAGTAGAGGAAATATGGAAGTCAAAGGAGCTGAGAATTTTGAATAAATGAGTATAAAAGTTATAGAGGGGCAGCTATGTGGCACATTGGATAAAATACCAGCCCTGGAGTCAGAAAGACCTGATTTCAAATCTGTTCTCAGACACTTAACACTTACTAGTTGTGTGACCCTGGTCAAATCACTTAACCCCAATTGCCTCACCAAAAAAAGGTTATAGAAAGGGAATGGGGGAAGAAGAATTTGTAATTGTGCCATTGGCAATGCCAATGACTTTCAGATAGTTTTATTTTTATCATCCACATTGGTGATATGATTACTCTCATAACCATCATTCTGTGAGTCTGTCACAGTAAGATCATCTTCTAAAAATCATTGTTATCTTACATAGGGCAGTTATATAGGGAACTGAGGGTTCGAAAAGGCTATTTTATCTTGTAATTGGTTTTTTTCACCAGGACCATGTACTAAACATCTGTCCATTTGAAAATAGAAAGATAGCCAGTGGCCAAATGTAAGGTCTATGTAAGTTGATGCAAAACTATTGCATGCTTACACCATGTAACAAAAAAATTTAATTCTGTTTCCTTTCCCTTCCTTTCAGAGCCCACCAAAGCTATTGTCCTCTTGGGCTGAATTAAGAGAGGCATGGTATCCAGAACTAAAAGTTTGTTGCTTAGTCATTTTTCAGTCATGTCTGATTCTTCACGACCCCTTTTTGGTTTTTCTTGACAAAGATACCACAGTGGTTTGTCATTTCCTTCTCCAGTTCATTTTACAGATGAGGAAAATAAGGCAAACAGGGTTAAGACACTTGTCCAGGGTCACACAGCTGGTAAATGTCTCAGGCCAGATTTGAACTCAGGAAGAAGAGTGTTTCTGACTCTAGGCCCAGCACCCTGCATCACCTAGCTGCCCCAGAGCAAAAAGATAGTGATATCAATCACTATCAAGCAAAACAATATAAACTGTTCATGAGTGAAAATGCCTAGCTTGGTACAAATATACATGTTTAATTGTTAAAAGCAACTCCTAAACAATTAAATCAGAATTTTTAATAATCTAATAAGGCATAGAATTAATTCTAAAAAGAAGATGTCAGCAGTACTAGATCGTTATCAGTCTGTGTCAGGTTGTATATTTATCATTAAGCTAAGAATTTTCCTCATGGTCCAGTTGATTGATAGTTTTCATTAAGTACTTTTCTCTCTCTGTCATACACAAGCAAAATTGGGCCTTTATTTTGTTGAATTCAGCTTCCAGGTACTCTAATGGTCAATGCCCAGATAATCCCAAGAGCTCTAGCCCCCAAAAGATTTGGCTTTAATAACACTGCTCTCTTAAGGTGACCACAGCTGGACTACATTTATTAATATACCTAGAATGTCAGTCAGGAGAACTTAGTAGAAAGAAAAATGAAGAAATGCACACAATGCAAATGCTAATTCCATTTAGGGAAACACGTCTGCCTCCTAGTGGACAAAAATAATTTTTCCTATTAAGAAAGTCATTGAAGGCCACTCAAAACCAAATGAGGTATTAACATACAGTACTTTGACCAGTGTAAATGTCCATTTACCTCTGATATAAAGAGATTAAGAAAAATTGACCAATTAAAAGGTACTTGTATGACATCTAGGTTTTTAATTTTTATGAGGGTTTTGTTTGTTTGTTTGTTTGTTTTCCTAAGGAAGTAATTTGAGAATTCTGAGGAGGTAGCATTGCACAGTGGATAAAGAGCTGGCATAAGAGAAGAAGGACCTAGGTTTCACAGCCTGCCTCTGACACATACTTACTATGGGTTCTCAGGCAGCTCTTTAAAACAATTAAGTTGCAGAGCAGATGCTGGTAAGAGGAGTTTTCTGATACCAATGAAATCACAGGTCTGGTTCAAACAGAGGTGAGACAAACTTAGAAAGGTATCATAGAATCACAGAATCTGAGTTAGAATAGACCTCATTCTACGTTATTGAATAAGAATTCTTCATAACTTATCTAAAAAGAAATCATACCACTTTTTCTGAAAATTTCCACTAAGGAACCCACTACCCTACTGAGTTCACTTCACATAGTGCTAATTATTAGGAATGTTTTCATATCAATCCTAAACTTGCTTTTTTGAAAATGGTACTTATTGCTTCAAGATCAGCACTTTCATTTCAGTACATTATACATATTTGTATTTATTTATACCTATGTCTATATCTAGCTATATGTTTAAGTGATTACTGTAAAAGAAAATGGAATTTCCACATTAAAAAAATGCTTTAAAATGTTAAAAAATCACCTGGCATAAGAAATAGAGGCCTTGGTATGAGGAAGACTTGGTTCAAGTCCCACCTGTAACTATACTGATATATGACTGTGGATGAGTCACTTAGCATTTCATTGCCTCAGACCACTCTCGAAGACTATAAAGTATAGTTGAATAGCTGGTCTGCATCCGTAAATGGAGTTTCTATACCAGGAGTTCTCCCACACAACTTCAAATGACAGATCTGTACCAAAAAGTGAAAAAAAAAGAGCAAAGACTTATTACATTATAAGAGAAGTAATTATTTCTGAAAGGATGATAGCAATAGAAAACTTCTTCTGGGTCAGATTGGGCCTACCTTGACATATGGCTATGTGGACTTCCCAATATTTAGCTGAAAAAAAAATAAAGAAAAAGATTTTTGGTTCTTCCTGTGCCTTCCAGAAGAGCATCCTTCTATACTTGACTGCCCATAGAGAAATTAAAGAGTCACAACCTCATACCACTCCAGCCTCCCAAAAGAAAGAGAAACAAGATGGAGAGAACAAAACTAAAAAATCTCTGCTCATTTGTTCAATCTGAGGAGAAAAAAGAAGTGCAGGAGAAAAACCAAGGGATTGTAGCTCTCATGGCCATCCACAAGTGAAGAGAACAAACTAAAGAAAAAAGCTGAAATGATCCACATCATAAAGCCAACCTGTTTCCGGGCAAGTCAGATCACATAGTAGGATCCAGGTCTTATTTCTCAGCTCTACCCCTAAGGATGAAACAAGGGCTTATCCTTATATTCCATGGTCTATCAGCTACGATGTCAGGTCAATAGAAATGATATCCCATTTTCAAGGAAGGAATCAGTTGTGAGTCAATAAAGGCCTGCCCTATTAATAAGTAGAAAGACACATTCTCAATCTAGCCAACGTAATTCATTGGAGACCACCATTTTGAATTAAGGAAATTGTGCCATATTAATAACAGAAAGATACTTCCTGAATTTGTGATGCATTGGGGACCACTCCTTCCTTAGCCCTTCTAGTAGAGTAAAAAGATAGCTTCTAGTATAATAGGTCTCAGTAAGTCAGTTATTAACTCTGCTGTTGTACTATAATGCTAAGTAAGGCTGAGCAGGCAGCTTCATTAATAGTCCCCCAGGTGAGGTATTAATGATACCTATCATCATACCCACCATATTATAACTGAGCAGATAGCCTCCTAACTTACTAGTATGCTTCTCTGTAACAGGAATTTTAGCCCATGGGACATCCTAATATTTGTTTGTCTTTTTTTTTCATTTAAAGAAATACAAGGGAAATGGAGGTTTTTACATTTTCCATACTGCTCATAACCAAAAGAATAAAACTCTCAAATATTTATGAATAGCAAGGCAACTTTGGTGTAAAACAAGCATTAGAAGAAATTTACAACAAATTCAGATATAGCCAAGTAATAACTTTCTAACTTCAACTGACTCATATCATCTAATGAATGGCCATCTTGAGAAAATCTCTCATGGGTTCTTCATTTATGCTTTTTGAGAAGGCACTTCACTCTTAGCTATCTAAGGACAAATAAAAATGGCTTCCATCATTTATGTTGAATTTTTTTAATGCTTCCCTTTCCCAAGTGACTGGGCTTGTATACAACTTAAAGCAGATGTATGTGTTCAGGGTACCTGTATCCACACACACACATAAAAATGTACAATATATTTGAAATACAAGCAAAATAAACCACAAGTCTAAAAAGCTAGAGTTTCAAATGGAAAGCAAAATAAGACAAAGCAGGAAAAAAAACAGGTCAAATACATGAATTCAAGAGAAACTAAGTGCCCTAAAATTTGATAGATTAGCCTTTTCATGGACTGGTAGAAAATTCCAGTGACAAAATGCTCTACATCAATTTATCTTATTGCTTCAATAAGCAACCTAGGCCTAAGAGTTACATGGAGCAACAGCATGAAACAGTAAGCATTATAGACCATGGCAAATAAGTGTGCTTTGATTCTTTCCAGTCTTGCTACCTATTAAAATAAATGTAGTGCCCTAAGAAATTAATCATTTTCTCTGATAGGGTGATCAAGGAATACCAGGAGACAGAGGGCCACAGGGTGAAAGAGGAAAACCAGGCCTTCCAGGAGTGAAGGGGATCATAGGTCCCATGGGACCCCCAGGAAATAAAGGCTCTCCAGGAACTCCTGGCTACCAAGGGCCTCCAGGTTCTCCAGGGACCCCTGGAATTCCGGTAAGCCACATCAGAGTTGCTTGTTTAAAAAAATCATTATTGTTGTGAATTCAATAATCACAAACAAGACATGAAAAACAGGGGAAAGGACTTACCAGAGACTGTGAACTTTTATCACATTCAGTATATTATTTTTTAAAAGCATATATGAACCTAACCAAAATAGTAACAAATTGCTTTCTTGATTTATTCTGTTCCTCCCCTCCTTTCTCTCTATACAGCTTTTAAAATGTCTTATTGATGCCTTTTTTCTTTTCATATCTATTGCTGCCCATCAACTTGCCTTCTCCTTTTCCCCTCAAGAGAAATTTTCCTTTTTTAAAAATATGTAGCATGGAGCCAAACCAAATCAAGATATTGGTCATTTCTGAGGATACATGTATGGTTCTGTACCCTTATTCCATCAGCTCTCTGCCAAGTGATGGAAGATATCCACCATCACCAGTCTATTGAAGTCATGATTGCCCACTGATTTACTCAAAATTCTGAGGTCTTTCACAGATGTGGTTCAATGCTTAAAAATAAAATTAACCAAAATGATGTGAAGTCATACTTAGACCAGATCGATATCACACCAAAACTCAATTTTCTTGAAAAGACTGTTGAATGATGGCCATAGAACAGAATGGAAATGATCCTGAAGGCCTTCCCAGGGAAAACTGGCCTAACCATGGTTTTTGGTTAAGCCTATGTACAGAAGCCAGCCTATTTATTAAAAATCCTCACTATGACAGCTAGTAAGTGTTCAGTAGAGGTAAAATCTCTCAGAGTAAGAAGAAAATGGGGTCAAAATGAGGTCTGACTTCCTCACAAGGATGTCAGAGGCATTAGACAAAGTATCACTCTCACGGATTGGGCCTTACTCAGGTCTCTGGATTTTTCCAGATTTGGTCTTTGTCTTGAATGGAATTTTCACAAGCCTTCCTTCCTTTCTTCCTACCCTCTTGTTACCTTTCTTACCTCTCCAAAAATTCTCCCTTTGCAGAAATCTGTTTTAATGATTTGCTAGCAACAACTAATGTCCCTATCTGAAGTAACTTATTTTATAAACCATGCCAAGAGAGTTTCCAATTTATTTTGCCCTCTATACAATGAAAATGGAACTAGGAAAAAGGAATTTACTTAGTGTTCTGTGCTACACTTCTTTCCCTGGCCATTGCACACACTGCTCATAATCCCCCAAGTTGAACAATTAGATATTTCCATTTAAAAATAAACAAAATACATTTTTAAATCCCAGTGGCACCAAAAGCAATAGCATACTGATTAAAATTCATAGCTAGTGGTATAAAACATCAGATTTGAATGATGTTTAATAAGGATTTGGAATAAGTTTGGCAACTGTGTGTGGGCTTATTTATCAAGTACATAAAAAAAAAGCTTACACCATTAAGCTTGACTGGAAAGGCTTTATCTTTTCTTCTTTCTCTCTAGTTCTCAGGTCTGAGCTACTACTGCTTTTTTTTTTTAGTTGAGACCAGAGGATGGTTTAATCTGATTGTCTCTGTGACTATATAAACTGCAGATTTAAACCATTTTAGTAAGGAGAGTTTTATTTAGTACAGATACAATAATATGTAGTTTTCAGTCCAAAAAATAAAATCTCATTTTGGACCCAATGAATAATACCCACCAGTTTATTATTTATTCCAGGTTCCTGCCTGGAAAAGGTTTGAAAACCTACCAAACCAACTCTTAACTCTTCCATTTCCTAGCTTCCTTTAGAGATAAACTTAACTCCCGTCAGTCAGTCAACAAGGATTTATCAAATACCTCTGTGTTGGACACTGTACCGGGCACTAGGGGTTTAAGGATAAAACCCAAACAGTTTTTGCCCTCAAGGATCTTACATTCTAGAGCTACCATCGTTGGGAAATCTGTTGTAATAATAGTAAAAATGTCTAGTCTTTGGAGTTTCAGAAAAGGAAATGTGTATATTCTTTAGTTAAGTAATGCAGAAACCCTTGTCCATATATAGTGGGAAAAAAAAACACCCTCATCGCTAATATATAAACACAGCCTACAACAAGTTTTGAAGCTAATTAAGCATCTCAGGTTCTTTTCAACATTTGATCAACAACAACAAAAGATATTTGTAGCTTTGTATAATCTGCCTCAAGGACATTGTTCTTTGATTAAACTTATCTCTTCAGTAGTTGCAGAGATGTAGTTAGAAGTCCAATTTTTTTTTATTATTCCTTCCTCATTTGTGAGATGCTGTGTTATAACAATCCATTCATTTTTTTCCTTCAGGCTGATGCAGTTTCATTTGAAGAAATAAAAAAATACATAAATCAAGAGGTCCTGAGGATTTTTGAAGGTTAGGACATGATTTTCAGTATCTGTGTTTCTGAAAGTATTTCATGGAATAACCTAATTCTGGATTGGATCTGAGCATGATTACAGTGGGGAAAAGGGCTCAATCTGAATCAGAAAACCTGAGTTTGAGCTCAGTTCTACCATTTACTGTCTCTGTGACATGCTTAACTTTAGAAAAACTGGAATTTAAGAATACCTTGAAGGACCAAGCAAATTTGTTGACTTACCTGTTCCTTCTAGTGTAGTAAGTTACTTTGGATATCTGGGTCATAGTTTCCTCATCTAAAAGAAATCTGGATGATTTCTAAGATCTCTTCCAAATCTAAAATCCTGTTATGGTAGGTCATCTAGTCCAAGTATTACAGAAATCCCCTCTACAACATTACAGATAAGTAGTGGTGAGTTCACTTCCTCACAAAGTGGCCAGTTCCATTTTCTTAGAGCTCTAGTTGTTAGAAAGTTCTTCCTTTCATGAAACAAAGATCTGCCTCCATAATATTTGCACCCACTGATAATGTTTCAGCCCTCTGAAGTAAGCCAAATTTCATTCTTTCTTCCATGTGACAATCCCTTCAAATGTTTGATAACAGCTATTGTATCCCTCTAAGTAGTTTGTACATCCTTAGTTTATCTTGGCTTGCCACCATTGTCCATCCTAGTCTTCCATATACACCAGCTGAGCAATAGAACTTTTAAACTACACAGCCCAGAACTGAACACAGTATTCTACATGTAATTCAACTGGTACCACTTTTACAAATGATGAAACTTTAGGCAGATAGAGGTTAAATGACTTGCCCAGGGTCATATAATGAGAAAGTATCTAGGAAAAGATTTGAAATCAGGTCTTCCTGACTTCAGGTCCAACACCAAGTATGTGAAGTACTTTGTAGATGGGACCAATACAGAGCACTGCAACATGCCATGAGATACCTCCTCACAAGGTTGACATCAACCCAAAAATCTTTTGGCAGATTGTAGCGCAACCAATTATTAATTCACCTAACCGTACTATCTCACACTATTATTAGCTCCATCCACGAGGCTATCATGAATATCTTTGGCATCGTACTTATCTACTGATATGAGGTTAGTTTGGTATAGTAATTCATTCTAAGACAGAAATGTCAAACACATGGCAATGCTCCCCACAATGCCAGAGGAACTGGGGTGAAATACAATTTGGAAATATTTAATAAAATAAGCAAAAATACAATAGAATATAGATAATGTTAGCATGTGGTTTTCTAAGTCAATTTGCAAGCCCCTAAGGACCCTAATGTACAATTTATTGGCCCCATTTCTATTTTGAGTTTGACACCATTGTTCTAGAATTTTACCAGGAAGTCAAATTCATTAGTCAATAATTTCCAGATTTAAATATTTGCTTTCTCTGCCTTTCTCTCTTTCTCAGTCTCTTGTCTCTTCTCTCTCTATGTGTCTCTCTCTCTGTATCTCTGTTTCTCTGTCTTTCTCTGTCACTGTCTCTCTCTGTCTCTATCTTTCTTTTCTCTCTCTTTCCTTTCTTTCTTTTTATTTTTTTAAAGCTACCAGAATGGGATTTTCATTCTCTCTCTCCCTCCCTCCCTCTCTCTCTCTCTCTCCCTCTCTCTCTCTCTCTCTCTCTCTCTCTCTCTCTCTCTCTCTCTCTCTCAAAACATTTATCTGTCTCTATTCTTCTGGCATCACAATGGTTCTGCATTGACATCTGCAACTTCTTGTATTATATTAGGATATAATTCCTCTGGGCCTACATACCTGAGCTCAATTCAGTAGCTAAGTGTTTTCTTTTTCACCCATCTTAAGATTCAGTTTTCTTTTTATCATGTTTGTTCCACCTTTCCCAGTTTGATGATTGTTCTCCATAATAGAGGAGATGGGCACAAAATAAAAGTTGTATAATTATCCTATCTTTAACTTATTATGCTAAACTGGGAGCCCATCCTTCCCTAGCTTTTCTAGACCAGGGGTGGGGAATCTGCAGCTTAGAGGCCATATGTGGCCTTCTAGGTCCTCTGTGGCCCTTTGACCGAATCCAAATTTGTTCTGTGAAGTTTAGATTCAGTCAAAGGGCTGCACTTGAGAATCTAGAGGGCTACAAATGGCCTGGAGGCTGCAGGTTCCCTACCCATGTAAGGCCATTGCATTCTTCATAATTCATTTAGGACTTCACACTTCCAGACATTAATGATTGTTATAGATTCATTCCACACTTTTCTATTCATCTTTGTTATTTGCTTTCTTTTTATTTTTGGTATATATATGTTTTTTTTAAATGAGTTCATCAAACAACTTCCTATACAGTCACAATTATTTAAGAGGCCTTTTCCTTTTTTTCTCGTTGGGATCATTTGTGGTTTCATTGTCAAAACTTTGTTTTTTGGAGTGTCTTGTCTTTCTTATGCCATCTTCCCTTTTAGAGACTGCAACTATGGGATTTTATTGATCCCTGACCATGCCCAGAATTCTTTTTTTAGGAAATGCAATATGATAAGGTCTCTTTCTGCCAGGGCTTCTGTTCCTTCTGTTTTGCCAACCAACCAATCCTTCCTTATTAGTCATAATTAAATCCAAAGTGATGGCACACCTCACTGCTTCATCAATTTTCTGAAATGTTCATACTGTGGCTCATAGTATGCTATCAGGTTACTCATGAGTCATCAGTGCAATGTTGTTATCTCAAAAGTTAAAATGATGCAAGGGGATAGTCAGAGAAATGACAAGGAATGTTTTTGACATTTAAAGTCCCGCATCCAATTTAGTCAACACACCTTACATGGCTACTATATGCAAGCACCTGTGCTAGATATTGAAAATATAGAAATGAAAAATAATATTCTCTCTATCTTTAAGAAAACTTACAGTTTAATGAGGGTCATGACAGGTACCCAAATAAGTATGATGTGGGGAAGTAGAATGCGATAGGGACAAAGGAGAGCCAGGGAGAGTATTCTGAGAAATTTGAGGAAAGAAAGATGATGTCTCTTGTTTACCTGTGGAAATCCTTTCCCTTCAAAGTTCAGCTCATTTACCACAACCTCCAATAAGCCTTCCAGAAATGCTGCTCCACCCCCGACCACAGCTAAAAGTATTTTCTCCTCATCATATACCCCTAGAGTACTTTAATTAGTGCTCTCCTTTTCTCCACTGCATTCTGACTCATGTTATATTCATGTAACTAGATATTCAGGCTGATTTCCCTGTGGGCAGGGTAAGAATCTGAAACCTAACTGTGTAGATTCTAAGAATCGCAGTCCTATACAAAAAGCACCCACCCTGGGAGGAATTTGTGCAACAACATACTAGGTTGGAAGCAAGTATAATTCGAAAGAGGATGTGCAATAGAGGCTCCACAAATACTGCCTCTGCTTGTCTGTCACAGGCAATAGGGAAGCTTGATGCTGCAAGTACAGGTGTGTTTGCTTGTTATTGGACATTCCTCTGCCAAGGGACTGATACAGGAGGTGTAATTGGCTGTCCTTTCCTACACCCACCCCAGTTGGTTAAGTGTATGTTAAAAGTTTATCTGTTGAGTTCTACTTGTTTGTATGCTAACTTATTTAAAGCCTTTTAAAAGCTAGTTTACCCTTGATTAAAAAGAAAAAAAAAACTATTGCCAGTTGCAAATTCTCTGTGACTTAACATCTGCTAATTGTATGGGGAGGAGAGGAGAGATTATAATGGATGAAGCCAGTGACAAGATTGGTCAGCACAAAACAGTACAGAAGATTAAACCTTGACTTCAAAATGTTAGGGTTTCCACTAATATTTGGCTGAGCCAAATAAGAGAGAACCTTCTGGCCTTGGTTTTATAACTCATGTTATATGCTCTTAAATATCAGAGAGAGATGAACCATGTGATTCAGGCCCCTTTACTCCTAGGCTATAGAGGTATGAAAAAGCAAAATTCAGGTGTCTGAGAGTACCACACATCTAGGGATGTGCTGGAGTCAACTCAGCTTGGGGGAGCCCAGTGTTACATTTTCAGTGTGAACATTTATACCTTAGAAATCGGTAAATTCTACAAAATAGGGCTTGATTCATTGTTTTGTTGATTGCCTAAACTTAAGAAAGTGATAGAGAGAATGTGAATAGTACAGATTTTTTTTAAAGTGTCATATCAATATTTTTTTTGGAGAGCTGGTTGTTAAACATTTACCAGCATGGCCCTGCATGCATCTCAGTGAGGCATTCATCCTCCAAAAAAAAAGAGGTAGTGGTATGAACAAAAGATGGCCTACATTCCTAAACTTCTTTGGGTTTCACTTTCAACCTACATCTTTAAACCTTGCCAGAGAGTGCCACCTGCTGGTTACATTTATTTGTATAAATGTAGCCTAGCAGCCCCAATAGATTGGAAGTGCCTCAAGGGAAGACCCTGCATCCTTTTTTTTTTTTTTTTAATCTCTGAATTCCCAACACCAAGGACAGAAGCCTGGCATAAAACAGATGCTTAATAAATATTTCTGAGATTGAATCTAATTGAATTGTCCTGTGAGAAAATATTATTTAACCTAGAAAATAAGAAGTGGTTTGAAGAAGTATATGAAGAGTTTCATAAAGGGAATGCTAATCAGCTGTTCTGCCTCTCTACAGAAGGTGGAACAAGAGAAAATAGGCTCATTATAACAAAAAAGATAATTAAACGCTAGAATAAACAACCAGAGAAGATTATGGAATCACTGTTCCTAGAGGTTTTCCATTATTTTGTTGTTGTTCTTTGCTTGTTTCTTGTTTAATTGCACTAAAAAACACAGGTCTTGAATTGGGTTAGAGAATGACCTCAAATAGATGACCCCTGAAACTGGTTGTCCTTTGAAACTCTGTGATCCAATATATTGCCTTCTTCATCACTGTTGCCTTGGTGCCCACATTCTCCGAGGAAGTCAAACCACTGGGTTCATTTTTTAAAGTGATTGTAATGGATTTGCCTTACCAGACAAAATGTGGGTATTAGCTGTCAGTAAGCTTCCATTAGAACTATTTAATTTCCTGGTCCAT